AAATCCTGCCAACATTTGCATGCAATCTGGGAGATAAGTATGTCTGTATTGTAATACAGATGTTTCTATATCTAGTGTCTGTATAAGATTATCTAAATCTATTATGAAGGGTAGAAAGATAGAGGATAAGTACTGCAAACACTCATATTGCATAATAAGTGAGAAAGGTGAAAGTGTTCCAGTTAAAGGAGACCTGATAACAGAATTCACAACATTTCTTCTTTATGCTGCATCGAAACTCCGAACCCTAACTTCTCATAATCATGTTGGAATATAGGACCAAACATAGTTTCAATTCAAGACTAAATGTACATTTAATGAGTTACCCCCATTGAAGTATTAAAGAGTATCTTCAGATAAACCCTGTATAAACTTGTTATTGTAGAATAACTTTAAGAAGAACTTGTGTAACAAAGTCCTTGGACATTTGTATATAAAACACATGTAAATAACTGTATAGTGACCCATGTGTCGGAGAGACTGACATATATAAGAGTCAATAAAAGAATATATATATGTTGAAGGCAGAATCAGATCTATAGGGGTGACAAAATTACAAGCAACATGAACAATTGACCTACCAATCTATTCATTACAATTTCAAATACAATATCTCCCAAAAGATTCACGGTATGTTATAAATTGTTGAAGTTATCATGGATTCAAAGTGCAAAAATGGGTTAAAAATCTTTAAATTCTCCCAAATAATAAGAATGGAACCATTCTTATAGAAAAATAATACATTATTGTAAAAATCTTTCGTTTTCCTGAAATAAAGTGTGCACTTTGGGGATTTTTAGAAAATAGACATGACAAGGAATGACATGAGCCAGAAATATTCTTAAATTGAAACAATTTTTTGCTGGCCTACTTGCTAGATCTGATTCTACATAATGTCACTAAACAGTCGCAATTACAAAGTGTAACAACTGTTACAGATGACAAAATGCTAACACTGATGCTGGCCACAAATAATGATAGCTAAAACAATCACTTTATAAAGGTGATTGACATATATAAACTACCAGCAAGTATCATATGATCTGATCTTTCTAATTATAAAATGATGCAGCAACAAAACTCTTAGATAACATGTTCTAGAAAATCATTTTCTGGCAAACATGTTCATCATACTTCCTCTCGCTTACTTTTACAAAATAATTAAAATATCTATCTTTGTATTGTTTTAAGTCAAGAATTCTTTACGCTTTGATGAGATCTACTTCATTTATGCTTTTTTCTTTTCAGATATATTTAATTTGATTTTGATCTTCAGCTATATATTCTATGGCCCTCCATCTAGTGTTGCAAGTCTACAGTATAATGGTTTCTTGGTAAGGAATCTTACCAGCACCTCAATTGCTCCATTGTGGTAAACCATATGGCATACTATGTTGAATACATTAACATTCCACAAAATAACAACCAAAATAAATGTGAACTTTACAGAAATTATTGCAACCCAACTCAATGTATTTGATGCCATTATAAATGATATTCAAGACCAATTTTCAGTAATTGCTTATGTGTTATTAAAATTAATAACTTTATTTGGAATGCCAACATTATTTTGATGACACAGAAGAAAGATTATAAATGTTTTCCACTCAAATGGGTTATGGTTAATCTATGCAGGAATACAAACATTTGTAATATTAAGATGCTCAAGTAGACTCCCAGGGGCAAATGGAATGAAATGCTTGTTAGAGTTAGGTTATTAAACAACGATGACTCATTTCATTATTTCAAGGGATATTTGTCAATTATCAAAGTTAACACTTTCAGCTCAATCATAGCATCTGGTGTTGCTGAGGGACATGCATTCGACCTTTTGTAAACTGATAGCGTTTCATATGGTAAAATACATATTACCATGCACATTATGGCTAACAATAGAATACTGGAGATGTTAGTCTATCATTATTCTGAAATCATAAGCCAAGCTCGATGGGATGACACTAAGCAAAAATATCATAAAGTATGGGGGGGGGGTGGCATTGTATGGAAAATGAAGTTTTGGGGGTATAAGGGATAAAAACAATATAACATGTTTAATTTGTAAAATGGATATTATACATGTAGCTCTAAAATTGAAGAAAAAGAGGGCTGAAAATATGAAAAATTACCCCTGGTGCCACTTTCAAATGTTTCTATATACATGTACATGTACTCCAAAGGTAGTCTGGTAGATGGGGATGTCTATACTGAGGGAATCTCAAGATTCATCATTTTGTTTATTTTCAATTCACTTTAGCATGTCTTATTTGCTACAATTAATACACCTCGTGATTTCTTGGGGGGGGGGGGGGGTGATTTTTCAACTGTGTCCTGCATCTATTTACATGAACTGTTCATCAAACTATTTAAAAGACTAATTTACTGAAAGATGACCAACATTAAAGATAGGTTATTGCTTGAAGAGATCTCAGCTGTTTCTATGCTGTCTGAGACTAAGCAGGTTCTAAGAATATAATTGCTGCAAGAAGCTGTGATATATTAGAAATGACCAAATTAACCAGTTGGCTTGGTTTATGTTACAAATTGCTGTTTTAGGCATTTATAACATTCTGTACTGAGTCTGAATGTACCCTGACCAACATACATTGGCTGGTAGGTTACCCAGTTTTAGGTTTTGTCTAGTATATACAGTCTGGATAAGAAGATTCTTAGAATACAAATGCAAAACCACAAATAATTCTACTTCTTGCCAAGCGCAGTCTCTACATTGATGAGAATTGAGAATATACTGGCAAAAGGTTCTTTGAAGAAATGGAGTGTACAGTAATTCCTAAACAGACATGTTATGGATAAAAGTTGAAAAGTCTAAATACTCCTAATATTTTAAATTAATATTCAGATGCAACCCCTTATAGCTCAATAGATTACCCCATCCCTACATTTACAATTGATATTCTTTGATGTATGTTTTACTGACTCAAAATTGGCAATTCACCCCTCCCTAAAGACTGACTGTAGTGAAATAACATAATCATGTTACATGTTAATAATGATATTCATTTATATGAGAGAATTAACATATAGATAACTACCACTGGTGCAAGGATTAGTGATTAAACATCAAAAGATTTTACAAACGTTATGCATGGACATGAACAATATTTTTTACAGATGTGGCATGTAAAATATATCGATCGGAAATGAACCATGGTATTAAATCAATAGAACTGACATGTAATTAGAATTTCTACTCTGCTGATTGTTATTCAGACAGTTTGATTGAAAATTGCAAATTGAATGCATTCCAAGTTGACTTAAAAATGTCCTTCAGTGTAAGAGGACTCTGTCAATGTTGTTATGAGCTCCAAGTAGGAAGTTGGGTATCATAATTTTATGCTTCATTTGACGTCACTCAATTTTTTTATCTTATGAGTTATAAACCACGTAGCCTTTCGATAGTGAAAGTCACTGCTAAACTCTGCATTCAAGCTTTAAGGGTTCAATAGAATGTAACATGACAACATAGATTAATAAATTAGCTAGCTTAGATTCAAACCATCCTTAATTTAAGGGGACGTGTATGATGGCTCATGTCATGACTTTCCAAATTCCTCATTAGGGCATTGTGATTTTAGAAATTTATTACTCAAAGGCTACCTGGGATACTGGCCCAAGGATACTGATTCACCCTTAATTGGAGTGATTCACAGAGGGGTGTTAAAGATGTATATTCTTCACCCTATACTCTACTTAGTAGACTCATCTTTCAGATTTTAGCTTTAAAATGGGGTGTTAGGATTTCTTCAAACAATGCAATCGCAAAAGACAATCAATGGGATGTGCAAACAACTTGTATTACATGTGTGAACAGGTGAAGTACATGTACATGTAGCCATGCCGGTAAAAATCTCTAATTCAGTAACAAATTACATGTTCATCAATGTGATCTATTTGTATTTGAATTGGCATTTTTTGTCAAATTAATTTTAGAATGCCTCGGGTGCCACTACCACAATAACTACATCAAAAGCTATGTCCCTTTGGATGTTTGTCAACTTCGGGTAAGAGATTGTTCGAAAACATGTCAATGTTTCAACATGTATTGTAATGACTTCAGTTTGAATGAAATGTCCCTTGGTGTTCTGGTCTTGGATTGTGATATCGGTTCTTGAATGGTGGGGGGAAAGGGGGTATTAGACATTGTTTCTTTTCACATTAGATCATGGTTTTGGAATATATGGGTGGGGGTTTGTTTTTCTTGACTGGTATGCACTTAGAGTTTGCCTTTTCTTGCTTAGTTCCATAACAACTTTTGGTCCTTTCCCTTTGACACTCGTGCTTAGATATTCATATCCCTTGTATTGATCCAGTTGATATACGTCCATGATCAATCTAAATTCAAAAATTTGGAAAGCATAATCAGATGTTGAGTTCTGGCTGGCCTGTCAATAAAGTGGAAGTTTTGTTTGGAGAACCAGAGACATAGCCTAAGCTTAGTTATAAGTTACCTTCTTCTAATCTAAGGCCACTGTATCGTGTATTGGCTAGAGACTCGAGTAAGTTATAATTATATGTCTCTGGGAGAACACATGAATTTCATAATTTTACGAGTTACAAAAGATCTAGAGCTTTCATAGTATAGTCGATCAAAATGTCAATACATATCGGACTTCAAATCTTTATTTTTTAATCAAAGTTTCTACTCACCAGATCAACATAAACTGCGATAAGGCTGCTGTTTTGAAGATAATTTTGGGATGTGTAATTATTTTCAACTTTCAACTTCCTGGTGTAGTGCAAAGATATTACTTGAATGAGTGATAGGTCTAGACATTTCTCTATGAAAAGTTATTTCAACGGAGTCTAACTACAATGTATTAATCAGATAATTATTAAAACCTTTTTGGAATATTTAATGGACAAAAATGAACAGTACATTGGCTAAAAGCCAGAGATAAATGAACAAGTGCATTAGAATTATATTCTACACAATTAAAAATTACTCCGCATGGTACTATTTTCCAGTTCTCTCCCAAGTTCACACGAGATTCAAGATGTCAGCTCCCATGGAAGTGAAATGTTTTTATTTTTTAATTCTTAGTTTTTGCTGTATCTTTGGGATTGTAGCATTTGAATCGATAAACAAACAAACAATAGATCAACTGAGGTCCTCAAGCGACTTCTTAGTTGTTTATTACGGTAAGGATATCCTCCAAAAGTGTATGGTGGTGTTGACGATTCAGTCCTCTAAAGTAAAATGTTAGGAACTAGATCTAGGCTACTTTGAATTTAAAAAATAAGAAATCAAATGACTATATTGCAACAGTATATAAAAAATAGAAACATCTGTACTTGTCCTAACTTTTGTATATTTCAGATAGTTGTGTATAATGCACATGCTATCTATTGCAAGACTTACACAACCGGCACAACCGTCACCATGTTATTCTAGTGTTTTTAAGTTTCGCAAGGATCCTGCCATGACCGTGGTAGTGTTATCGTGAAAGCCTGGTGTAACCGTGACAATGTTATTCCATATTGCAAGGCCTGTCATGACCATGGTAATGGTTAAGCTTGATATGACCGTGACAATGCTATATTATATTGCAAGGCCTGTAATGACCGTGGTAATGTTAAAGCCTGATATGACCGTGACAATGTTCACATTCTTGAATGAAATAAGAATTATAGTTTGTGGAAATGAACTATGAGTTAGTAGTAGTAGTAGTCTAGATTTACATATTTAAGGTAGCTAAACGATGAAATTTTTCATTACAGTATTCTCATTCTACTAAATATCATTTAATAACCATTGTCACCGCCATGTTGTGCTTTACTATTACCACAGTCATGACATCCCTTGCAACCATTGTCACGGTCATATCAGGCTTTATTATTACCAAGGTTATGTCAGGCTTTGCAACCATTGTCAGGGTCATGATATTATCAGGCTTTAACATTACCACGGTCAAGACAGGCCTTAAACTTAAAAACATTAAATAACATGGTGACGGTTGTGCCAGGCATAGTCTTGCAACAGATAGGGTCTCATATAATGTGCAGTAAAGGTGTCGCCTTTTACAATTTAGGGAGTTTCAGCCATGTTAATTTTTCCGAAAATAACATGGCAGAGAAGCATCAAAATATAAGAGGGCACATATATGATAGCTAATCTACAAAACAAACTAAAATATACAAAAGTTAGGACATGTATAATGTTTCTATTTTTACATATGGTCCTTTGATTGCTTATTTTTTAAATTCAAAGTAGTTCCAAACTTTAAAATTTTACTGTAGTCTATATCTAATAGAATGAATTACTCAGATGTGAGTAGGTAGTTACCAGCTTCGCCACCAGGTGGCTGATTTGGGGGAAATAACATGGCAGGGTATTACAAAATTCCCACTTGAATATTCATCAGTTTTAGTGGTTCACTTTTCATATTACCCGTATGTATCTGATAGTTATACAAATTAAAATATGTCCAGTAAAAGTAAATATTATCTGCCCAACACAAGAAAAGATATTTCCATTTTTGTGATTTTACAACATGGGGGCTGTATCCTCTAGTCTGAAATTTTTTTGAAATTTGGAATGAAAATATTCAGACTATAGCCCTTATATGTTAAATTTTGGGAACGAAAATTATTTGTTTACATAGGAAGTGCCATTCAAAATGGCTGATTGGGTAAATTACTTTGCATATTTGTTACTTATGAATATTTTCATTCTAAATTTCCCAAAATTTCAGACTAGAGGATATAGTCTACCTCTCTAGGCCTACATATGTCCCTTTTTTGAAGCCTGTTGACTGGTCTGATAGAACAGCCATTGCTGCCCTCTATCACTGTTCCACAGCTGGATGACTCTAACTGCAGTTAGCTTCATTCAAGATGGTTGCCGAAATTAATTTGTGTTCTATAAACCTCCGATTTCAGCTAAACAAAGTTGAATCTTGATTCCAAATGTTTCGCCAGCTAAATTAATAAAGCTACGATGGTAAATAACCACAAATAAATGCTCAAAGAACTGCGACATTGGAGAATTTGGCTTCACTTAGAATGACTCTTACTGAAGTTGAGGATGACGTTATGATGACTTAGATCATCAGCTTCAGTTAGAGTCATTCTAAGTGAAGCCGTTTTCTTTAAAATTCTCTAATATTGCGGGTGTTTGGGCATTCATTTGTGGTTGAATACAATCATAGTTTTATTAATTTGCATAGCGAAACTTTTGGAATCAAGATTCAACTTAGTTTAGCTTAAATGAGAGATTTAGCGAAAACGAAAGAATCTCGGCAACCATCTTGAATGAAGCTAACTGCAGTTAGAGTCATCCAGCTGTGGAACAGTGTCCATCAGCCACAAGAGAATCATGACCGTTTGTTTCCCACATCTCCATCCTCCATTTGCAAAATTCTGTAAGTTTTCAGCTGCTTCTGTGCAGATCAGGACTTTTCTTTATCCTGTTTGGATATTTCTACCAAGAAATCAGAATGGCAGTTTTTAGGGAAATTCGTAAAGTAGCCTCCAGAGATTTCCGAATGAACTTTAAAAATTTCTCACCAGAAATTGTCCACTCTTGGCTAAAGTAACGGAGGTTATAGTTATGTAAAGAAAATTTCAAGATATAAAGAAAGCAGCTGATTTCAGTTTCAGCAGTCACGCTTCTTAGGTGGGTGATAGGTGGCAAGCAAAGGCTGTTCTATTGATCAGCCAATCTTTGAAAGAGGCAAGTTTGAATTGATTTGAATAATTTTTAGACTACTTCAACTACATGTATGTGATAGACAACTTCTTAAATTGTCTCCTACTTTATTACTCTATGGCCAGGAAGATGGGCCAATAGTCTAGTTAGAAAATGACTGCTATCTTTCCTCTTTCAAAGTCTGTCTGATCTGTACAATCAGATGCATATAATAATAATGTTTCATATGTCTCTGATACAACATATTCTAGCCTTTGAAAGAGGTAAACAACATGTCATCCACTTTGTAAATTATTTCTGAATTGATTTAGGACTACATGTAGCGTGGATCATCTTATGACAAGACAATAGGATTTGTTTTGAAAATTGAAATTATATCCTATAGGCTATAGTGTTGCATCAATCTTTATTATACAATACACACATTGTATATTGACTTGCTAAGTAACATAATGTATGAAGTTTACTTTCGCATTTCTTCAGGGACTGCAAACTGTGAAGCATGTTTAACATCTGCAAAACTATTGGATGCAATTCGTGATAATTCCCTAATACAAGGTAACTTTTCTTTAAAGTTAATACGAAGTATGATTTGTGTCTGTTTCTCTGAAGTTTTGAAGCTTTCACATGATTCGCAGTATCTTTGATTTGAAAACAATATTTTTATTCGAATATTACATGTATGTCATACATATGGGTAAGAGCTAGGATTAATCACAAGATCACACATCACTGTCAAGATTTAGGGACAAAAATTTATGTCATTTTAAAGTAAAGCTTTTTTTCTTTACAATGACGAGTTGGGAAATTTAAAAACATCCCACTTACTGAACTTTAAAACTTTTAAGGCATGTATTTTCAAAAAGCTTTACATTGGCGAAATTCCATTTTGGACTTAGATTATTTTGCGATTGATAAGATCACAGTCTCTTGAGATGTTATCTCATTTAGTTTACATTGTGCTCGATCTCTTGTTAAATAGAAACCCATCGGTTGTTTTTTAGGGAGCATCAATTTTCTCAAGAAGTCTGAAAATGAGATTGTAGGTACATTTAGAGCACCTGATACATTGCGTACTCCAAACAAATCAAATTTGTTTTAATATCTATTGATCTGCTAATCTATCATGAGAGAACCGATGCTCAACAACTGGAGATGGCTTAGCAAAATTCTGATTCTGTTTTTAGGTTTACAGTTTAGGGTTAGGGATAGGATTTATTGCCCAAAAAATTGAGGGGTGTGCAAAATCTGCAAAGGTTGGAAAGCTGTGAAATGTTAAAGTGTCTCATTGATATTGTTTTATAGATCTGAAGATAATTAAGACTGAAGATGCAGAAGCAGCGAAGGATCTCTCCATTACAACATTCCCACAGATTGTCTTCTTCCGTAAAAACAATCCTATTATATACAGCGGTAGGTTTCTCTGTTTGTGCCAATGTTACATTTCGATATTTGATACTATAGATTATTCTTGTTTTTTACAATCATAATTATTGAGGTTTACCTTCATCATTGCTGCAACAGTCTTAACAGATTTGTATAAAAGAAATAAAACAAAAATAGATATGATTTATTGCAACTTAACTTAACAAATGTTTCCACCGCTTTTCTAATATTTTTCAATATGGGGGGGGGGTCGATGGATGCGATCCCTCCCGGTTATAATAAACAGCCTGAAACAGCCTCATATAAGTGCAAGCATGAACACTGTTTTCAAATAAAATAAATATGTATTTCTGATTTTCTCCTGTCATAGAACCGCTTGATGATGAAGATACCACGGATGATATCATCATGTGGTTGAGCAATAATGTAGAAGTTGCAACAAAAGTTCTTGATGATGACAACTTTGAGCATCTTACCCAAGCTTCTACAGGAGCCACAACTGGTGACTGGCTCGTCATGTTGTAAGTTGAAAATAACATATTTAGGTAGTCCTGCATCAAGCCTCTGTACCCATTGCCTATTTATGATTTTATATACCCAATATTTTCTGATCTACAGATTGGTACTATTATGTCACCACCAGAAGTGGTGACACATTGTTATAGTCTCCAACTTTTTTGTTGCTATTCATGCTATTCTTCTTTATATTCAAAACAATATTCATTTCAACAATTTATTCAAGAAGTACATGTGATATTATTTTTAGTAGACCTGTCTTGGTCAACCAGAGGTGGCGTTAACGCAATTTTTTACGTTTTTTACTCACATTTTTGCAACTCTGACGCAAATATTCATTGTCTACCGAGTCTTTCTGACGCTCGTTTGTTTCACATGCCAAATGCCCGCTTGGTACTTGGTTAAATTGATCCCTATATGTGAAAATACGTGATTGATCAGATTTATAATTTTGCTAATTCCGGAAATCTAACATCTCGTTCAGCGCAATCGAGGCTCCTTCCTACCGATCATTTTCTCATTTCGGTATTTCATATAATTTTTAAAGCCCTGTGATTCAGATTCAATGATAAACATTGATCGATCCCTCGATTTGTTTATCTCGTGAAGCACGTTGCTAGGGGGCGTATCAGAAATGCAATAAAACGAACATAACATTGAACAATAGTCTAATTTATTAATTTCATACTCCCTTCTGAGGATTTTAGTGATCGTATATTTAAATAACCGCATAAAATCTTCCCTTGAATGTTCACACGCTAGATTTACGAAACTTTAGTTTCCTTCGCAAGTTCACAAAATTCCTTCGCTAAGTTAGCAAGTTTCCTTGAGCCGTCCCCTTCATCAGCATGCGCAGATGTAATGCGCAGTAGGTTTATCAATGGTGAGTCTCACAGTGAGCGATCTATCGTAAGTTTTCACCAAGTATTTTCAATTAACTCCCTCAAGTTAAGATCTTCGATTCACTAGATCTGAAGCTGATCCTATGAAGATAGATAATGGGCACATGAAAATCCAGTCGATCGCACATTAAGGGGGGTAATGATGACAAATTAGGTATGAAAACAAATCTACTTTCGGTTTCATTTGATCAGCTATAATTATAAGATTCTACCGTATTCAATTTAAATAATGCCCAGTATTGCGGTCGGTCTTATATTTTAGACTTTGGAATGATTGCAAAAATGTTGAATTTCAACATGAAACGCTTCGACCCCAATCTATGTAACTCCACACAGGGTGAAACTCCTCTCCCACTCCATTCACACCCATGACTCGCTGGACCAGATAATCAGATGATTAATAGTGACATTTTTCTTGCAATTGCCTCATTAATTAATTGTTAGTTGTTAATGTGCTATAAGAGTACAATAAAAGGTATGCACAAAATCAAAAAATAGATTTTGTATGTGGTTTCTACATTTTGTATGCATTTTTACTCAAGAAAAACACTTTTATAGCTTTGACTCAACTTTTATTCTTGTGACTCACTTTTTTGAAACTACCTGAGTCATGATGACTCACAAAAATATATGCCTACCGCCACCGCTGTCAACTTTTTGTGTAATATCTACCACCTGCCTTGCAGAAAATTACTATTTTTCCTGGCCTTATGATGGCTGTCTGCATACAATGACACACTAGAGTAAATGTGCAAAAATCATTACAGTATAATTATGTCACCACCAAAAGTGGTGACATATTGTTATGGTCTCTGTTTTTTTTGTGACGGCGGTTGGTGGTTGGTGGTTGGAGGTTGGAGGTTGGCGGTTGGCGTCCGGCGTCTGTAACAATTTCTTACAACTTCCTATAACTTAACAAATACTGTTTAGATTGACTTCAATTTTTTTCTAAATCATCTACATGTTCTCAGAAGTTCAAATCTGACTTTAGATTTGACATTTGACCTTCAATGACCTTCTCAAGGTCAAAAAGGTCTTTTTTCAACTTGCTTCACATTGACTAAATTTTTTTTCAAAATCATCTACATGTTCTCAGAAATTCAAATCTGACTTTAGATTTGACTTTAGATTTGACATTTGACCTTCAAATCTGACTTTAGATTTGACATTTGACCTTCAATGACCTTCTCAAGGTCAAAAAAGGTCAAAAAGGTCTGTTTTCAACTTGCTTCAAATTGACTAATACTGTTTAGACTGACTTCAATTTTTTTCTAAATCATCTACATGTTCTCAGAAGTTCAAATCTGACTTTAGATTTGACATTTGACCTTCAATGACCTTCTCAAGGTCAAAAAGGTCTTTTTTCAACTTGCTTCACATTGACTAAATTTTTTTTCAAAATCATCTACATGTTCTCAGAAATTCAAATCTGACTTTAGATTTGACTTTAGATTTGACATTTGACCTTCAAATCTGACTTTAGATTTGACATTTGACCTTCAATGACCTTCTCAAGGTCAAAAAAGGTCAAAAAGGTCTGTTTTCAACTTGCTTCAAATTGACTAAATTTTTTTTTCAAAATCATCTACGTGTTCTCAGAAATTCAAATCTGACTTAAGATTTGACTTAAGATTTGACATTTGACCTTCAATGACCTTCTCAAGGTCAAAAAAGGTCAAAAAGGTATGTTTTCAACTTGCATCAAATTGACTAATTTTTTTTTTCAAAATCATCTACGTGTTCTCAGAAATTCAAATCTGACTTTAGATTTGACTTAAGATTTGACATTTGACCTTCAATGACCTTCTCAAAGTCAAAAAAAGGTCAAAAAGGTCTTTTTTCAACTTGCTTCAAATTGACTAAATTTTTTTTTCAAAATCATCTACATGTTCTCAGAAATTCAAATATGACTTTAGATTTGACATTTGACCTTCAATGACCTTCTTAATGTCAAAAAGGGTCAAAAAGGTATTTTTTCATCTTGCTTCAAATTGACTAAATTTTTTTTCAAAATCATCTACGTGTTCTCAGAAATTAAAATCTGACTTTAGATTTGACTTTAGATTTGACATTTGACCTTCAATGACCTTCTCAAGGTCAAAAAAGGTCAAAAAGGTCTTTTTTCAACTTGCTTCAAATTGACTAATTTTTTTTTCAAAATCATCTACATGTTCTCAGAAATTCAAATCTGACTTTAGATTTAACATTTGACCTTTAATGACCTTCTCAAGGTCAAAAAAGGTCAAAAAGGTCTGTTTTCAACTTGCTTCAAATTGACCAAATTTTTTTTTCAAAATCATCTACATCTTTTCAGAAGTTCAAATTTGACTTTACAAGTTCTCAGAAGTTCAAATCTGACTTTAGATTTGACCTTTGACCTTCAATGACCTTCTCAAGGTCAAAAAGGTCTTTTTTCAACTTGCTTCAAATTGACTAAATTTTTTTTTCAAAATCATCTACCTGTTCTCAGAAATTCAAATCTGACTTTAGATTTGACTTAAGATTTGACATTTGACCTTCAATGACCTAACTAGGTGGTGACATTTTGTCATGTTAATGCCTTGTTTGTATTGTCATTGGACTGTTTTGTGTGTAGAATACACTTATTAACTATATTATTCATTTTATAGCTACTCAGAAGAATGCTCATCTTTGCTGCCATCTTTCGAAGGAGTGTCTGCAATGTAAGTGAAATGTACATTGAAGCTAAGTCCATGGACATTGTTTGTTAATGTGCATGTTGAATCAAAGAGGCTGAGGGAAATTAATAATGTACCTGATTAATTTAAAGTTTCGCGTACTGACATCACACACACATACATGCTTAAAGGTCATGCTAGCTAGGAGGTCCATTATTTTGCAATTCACTATGAGGATTAAAGAAAAAATGAGAATACTATGCAGGGAATTAACATGTTTTACAATAAAAAGTTGCGAACATCATTAAATTAGATTATTATATTGTACTTATTTTCTCAGAAAGCATACAAGTTGCAATAATAGAAAAATCCAAGCTTTACCACTTTCTACAAACATGTACACTTACAAAAACAAATAATCAAATATAAATTTCACATGACACACGATATTAATTAGTACAGTAGTCTGGTCAAAGAGTACACATGTAATGTTTACAATATGTACAGCAAGGTTGTAGCTAGCAAATGTCAAGGGGGTGTGATTTTTGGGTTCCCATCACTGTGAGCGAAGCGAGCCCAAATAAGGGAGTACCGGGGTTCATGGATTGTGGGAATAAACATTTCTTTTTTAGTAAGAATATGGTAGATTATAAGTTATATGGTAATATACAAACATATTTCAATATTTTGTAGCATAAAGCAACGTCAGAATGGGGCAATAGTGAACATTGATAAAAGTCCAAAGTTAAAGAAGAGGTTTAATATTCAACGCTGCCCAACAATTATATTGTAAGTAATATTTTGTCTTGATAGTTAAAATCACATATGATTAGATTCTTTCAAACTGATACTGTACCATGGTGATCCTCTTTACTTACGGACATGTACATGCAGACTTATGTATTGAGTAGGTTTTTGAATTCATAATTCACTATATTTTGATACATTCATCATTTTTATGTCACCATCAGAAGTGGCGACATATTGTTCTAGACTCCAATTTTTTTTTGTTCAGCGGTTGGTGTTTGGCATTCATTGGTCAGTGTCTAACAAATGCCAGGTGGTGACATTTTGCATGCTATGTACCTTGTATTAGATATATCATTTACAAAGATTCCTATTAAATGACTTATTCTTTTTACATGATGTTATTCATTGTAGTTTCCGGCTTGGTAAGCAGTATACTTTCAATGCCAAGTATGATACATCAGCCTTGACCTCATTCGCTGGGGGTTGGTACAAAAATATGCCATCACAAAAAGTGTTGCCACTCCCAAGTCCTTTGTAAGTACATCTTATAACAAACATAATGCCATTGAGAAAGAAAGAATGCAGGTCTGTAGCCAGGGGGGGGGGGTGACTCAAATGGCTCATGTAATTGCCTCCTAATGCTTTTTGGAAATATATTAGTGAAAACATTTATTGTAAACATTTTTTAAATGAAATTATTTTTCTAAATTGGTGAATTTTACATAGACGACATGGACATATTATATCAGGAATCAGACTCTATAGCATTCTTAATGCAATGGTAGAATCTACATGTACATGTAACTACATCTATTTTGTTCAGTTTAAGTTGTTACATATACTGCCTATGTAGAGCATGCAAAAAAAGTCACATTTTGCAAAAATTATTTTTTCAGCGATGAATTAGTGGAAAATATTGCTCAAGATCTGAAGGTAAGACACTGCATAGTACTAAACACGTACATGTAATTGTTGTAGTGATACAACATTCACATGTATTTTATTAGAATCGTGAAGTCATGATGGAAGAAACATACATCCTTACACACATACAAACGCCTTTATTGTTGTACAATGCACATACTAGTATGTACATGTACATTGTACAGTTCATCCTTCCTAATAATAAAGGCCAAATCTAATCAATTAAAGCTTAATGAGTGGTTGGTTGTCACCGATTGAATCATTAATTCTTTAAAATCTTATAATTGTACATCATGGCATGCAAGCAAACTCTTAGGGCTTCAAATTTGTTTTCAGAATGTTATAAATGGACCTAATGGATCTCTTGTTGTGATGGTCACCATAGCAGCATTGATAGCCTTAATGGTTGTCATAGCAATATGTTTTGTATGTGCTCCGAGACAGAAGGACACAAAAATGGACTGAGTTTAAGAAAATCGAGCTTAATACTTTTAAACCATAAACGTGCAATTTGTTATTTTATGTATGCGAGACCTGGAATTATATGTACATCTTTGCTATTGGAGGTTTCAAATATAGATAATCTGAAAAGAAATCTATTCTTCTTATATTATTCACTTGAGATGATCTTGACCTACAAATAGGGCTAATAGGCTTTGTTAACTGTTATAGATATTCCTTGTACTTTGTAAGACTAATGTAATATCAGATCTTAGCTGTTTTCTGCGTTCGACCCAAGAGCATACAAATACAAATTCTGGAACTACTGATATTATGTCCATTGATCTAAGTCAAGACATAAACAAATATATTCATGCAAGGAACAAATATTGCATAATTGACCAGTAATTCTTGAAGTTGGATCAGCTTACTGTAAAGTCTCGGACTTTTTTCATTGATCTACAATTTATTTTATTGATATCAGCCATGTTCTGATATACATGTCCAATAAATAGTGTTTAATTATTAATCAAAGCCAATTTTGATCCCGGGATTCCGATGTCAATATTATAGCTTCTTAGAGGTTGGATTACAGATCAATGAAGGTCTTATCAATACACAAAGTGTTAAACATTACACCATGTACATGACGAAATAGAAATGAGGAGTATTTTAGAAAACATATTTCTTGCGATGGAGTTTCAATTCGATAGGTGGACATGCACAATTATTTATTCAAATATTTCTTGCAGTATAGTTTCATTCCAATAGGTGGACATACACAGTTCCTCATTCAAATATTTCTTGCAATGTAGTTCTGTTTCAATCCGATAGGTGGATATGCACGGTTCTTCATTCAAATATTTCTTGCAATACAGTTTTGTTTCAATCCGATAGGTGGATATGTATAGGCTGATTTATAGCAAAAGAATAAATTAAACAGAAAGCCCGATGCCCAACTCTGACAAACTGCGCGCATATTTCAAAATGTGAGACGGGGAGGACACGACTCCCAAAAAGATCCAAAATACGAAAAATACAAGGTTAGTCTCGTTCTAAAGATACCATTCTGTGAAGATGAACTTAATTTACTCATAATACTCAATGTTTTTCCCGATGTAAACCTAGTTATCTCAATATAAGGGTCTTAAGTAACTTCTGTGTTCAAAATTTACAGTGTAAAGTTATATCTATGTCTTTTTATCGTCATTTGCCGTTTATTCAGCCATTGTGTATGCTAGAATACATAGGATCACTCCATCTGATTAAATCAGCAAAGTTTGTGTTCAAAACGATAATACGCCATAAACGTGATTTAAACATTTTTCTTGTCAAACTGCGCGCCTATATTCACATGTATTTCCCAAACTGCGTGCCTAATATTTCCAAACTGCTTGCCTATCCAAGCTTGTTTTGTATTATTAGAAAACATAAGCGCCATACAAGGCACATATGTGTCTAATAGTAGAACCCCATAATTGAAACACTATGAGAGTCCATCCACCAAGATGGTGATCTGAAAATTAAAGTTTTTTTCGTTCCCAAATAATTGTCACTTCTATTATACATTTTGACTTTCAATATGAAAATCTCATAAAATCTGATGATAAAGCAAAATTTCCAAAGCTACATGAAAAACACCTACACGTGCCTCTGTAGAAATTCCAATGATAATATGTAGTTTTAATAGTGTATGCGCACAGTTTGTAATTTCTGGCTAAAATAGGCGCGCAGTTTGTGATTTATTTCTTTTTAATCTCCTGATTATCTGTTTTATCTCGAAATATTTTGAATCATACATGATTAAGTAGGCGCGCAGCTTGACATGGGCACCGTGCCATAAGTCTATGTATTGTATAGAAAATGAAGACGTCATATCATAGGCTTTCAACGATGAGTATATTCCGACCATAACTTTTTTTCATTAAAATGATATTTTTATGAGGATAATAAAAATATCAGCTACTTATTTTACGCGTTTAAGCATACTAATCTTCCAAAACCTTTGTCAGGAATATTCAATTTGCTGTGCTATTATGTTAGCATTGATCATTCACGAAATGTAATCACAAATGATTTTCTAGAATTCCCCGAATTTCTAGCTTTCCATTGCATCCTAGTGTCAACAGGTCAATGACTCAATTTCAATGTCAGTTTAAAGTGAGGTCAGTTCAGTGCAAATATTGGAATACAGGGGATAAATGTATATTGATGAAATAAGCATTTGCCATGGCAGATCTAAAATCTTTATTTGTAGCAAACATCAATATAAATAATTGATGAACATAATCATGAGGACCATATACAGTATCCGTTAATATATTAGAATGGAAGATATCAAGACGTAACGTCGAAGTGTTAAAGATGAAAACATTCTTGATAGTTTTCACCTTATTGGGGATTTGCCTTGCTAGTGAGTATATATTAAATTGTTAATGATATACATCTTATGTTATTTTGATTCATTAGAAACTATTTTGAACCTTTACGAACAGTGATTTACAATAGGCGAAATAGCTAATTTGAGTCGTAAAGCTAATAAGGAAACAATGTCTCATATTCTGTTTTGGAAAAATATGCCATCAATTACGTAGTTTAACTTTAAGCTCTGTCGACGTTGCAATGTATTTTGGTGGGTATGTACACTATTTTACTAATAAATAAATGAATCCTTAAAATATTTTTTTGGGATCCAAGGGAATGATTTTGGATAGGGGCTCTGAAGTTGTCTTTTTAGTTAAAGAGAATGTACTTAGTAGAAATAATTGCAAATATATAGTCTGCTCAATACAAGAATAGATATACACTTTTCTTGAATTCATGAGTATTGGGATTCTACCGTTAATGGCTAATGATGTTTAGGGATCAGGATAAAGGTCCATGTGCAGTATGGCAAGTGATTTTAGACGGTCATATCTTTCACCTTGCATACTTTCTGGGCATAAATCCAGTGGTTTTTATCAAAACAAGAATATGTTTTCTTTCAATTGAAGTCCCCATGATGATAAAAATATCAATCGAACAATTCGAAAAATTATAAATAGGGACCCCACGTCAACAATTTTTTCAAAATGTTGAACTTATTTGCTCAAAAGAGGATCTTCTTTTTCTGATTTTTATTGCATGAAAATATTATTCAACAAGGGGTCTAAAACATATTTAAAAGTAGAATGGTATTGAAAGTCTAGTTTTGAAGATATCAATTTTCGACGACCAAAATCATGCTGAAAACAATGGATAGCATGAGTTTTCGCTATGGGAAAATAACATTGGAAATTTGGTTTTTAACTTTTCAATACCCATTCCTTTTTCAGAAGTTATTAATATAGTGTCGAAGAAACTTTTGATATATTAAAATTGAGAAAAACAAGATCCTCTTTTTAGAAAATAAGCCTTACATTTTTTAAAAAGTGAAAAGGTGGGGTCCTAATCCATAATTTTCAGGGAGTTAGATTGATATTTTACTATCATGGGGACTTCACTTTAAAGAAAACATATTATTTTAATAAAAAAAACACTGAATTTATACCCAGAAAGTACTTATTGTGAAAGATATGACCGTCTAAAATCACTTGCCATACTGCACATGGACCTTTTATTCTGAACCACTGCTTTTTTGACTGTCATGAAGAGAGTAAGGTAGGACTTCGTGTGACTCATTCAAAGTCTCCTCAATGTCGTGAGCCAATTTTTTCATTTTAACTTGAAATATTAGATCGAATAATGTGTGAAATATCTAGCAAACAAGTTCAAATTGTTACAAAATAAGAGCCACAGATTTAAATCATAAATGAATGATGAATCACTAATTCTAGATCTAATTTACATGCTTTACTACTGAATCAATATATTTTGGAACTATATCTATCACTTTTTATTAATCCAGAGAGTTACTGTAATTAACAGTCAGGATTTAGTATTCAGTTTGTTATGAATTATCACATTCAGGTGGTTTATTTTGAAAGATCTTTCCCGTCCAGACACCTCTATAAAAATACTTATTTTCAGCGAAAATGTTTAATCTACTGCAGATTGTCCAAGTCAGAGATGGGAATATCCTTGGCATTTTAATAGTGTGGAAAATTCCTGCTACAGCTTTTTGTCAGACATGACCCGGGACTATGTTCAATCAAAAGCAGAGTGTAGTGCTGTAACTGGGGGTCACCTGGCAAAGATTGGCAGTGAACAAGAAGCAGATTTCATTGATGGTCTACTGGATGCAGATCTTGTACATAAGATGACGTCCTTGGGAAGAGGAACAACATACTCAGATAAGAAATGGGGAGTTTGGATTGGAGGAGATACTACTGATCCATGTAAATACTTTTAATTAAAAACCCAACTCTTTCATATTTGTATTGCAGTATGAGTAAGATCATAGATGAACCATGCGTAGCATATCAAAAGGTAGGGAACTTAATGGTTTTCAGTTCTTTGGCATATCCTGTGACTTTTTGATGTTATGGTAGTATTGCAAATAACCCGATGACCCTTGGGTCTGATTTTAATGTGTTAATGTATTAAACGCAGGTCCGGCTGGAGGATTTTCGAAGGGGGGGGGGGGGGAGGGGGCGACTTTCGCGTACGGATGGATTGTACCGTGTACCCACGCAAATTGTTGCCAGCACGAAGCACCAGGAGCTGGGGGAACAAAATTTGAAATTAATGCCCTCTCTGTTGCATTTTGAGCATATCTGAGAGCAATAACAGATATTTGCATCATTAAATACCAAAATCGGTCGCCCCCAATGCCCCTCTCTTCGGACGGGCTTGAAACGCTTGATATGAAGATATTTATGATGTGGATTTTAGAACAACTGTGATAAGTGTCAATGTATATTCTAGCAACCTCTTACCATCATTGGTATGACGGAACGGCAGTGCCCAACTCGGGATCTGGGTCCCCATCAACAGTGAATGGTTTTTCAGGAAGATGGGCTTTTGGTGAACCAAATAATGGAGCGTCATCAATTGGAATAAAAGCATCAAGGTTTGTCTTTATATACTTTCTGTCATGTATTGTGTCCATCATTTTCTTTTATCAGTCTGTCTGTCAAAGATGTATGACAGGTTGTAAAAAAATCACTGTCAATTCGCAATTTTATGATTATACAAGGAATTAACATGTCAAAGTGTCACCACACTAGTTGCTCACAATATTATGAACCTTTTTTTTTTACCTTAAGAAGGTCAATAAAGGTCAAATCTCAAATCTACTTTTGAGAACTTGTAGATGTATTTTGAAAAAAATTGGTCAATTTGAAGCAAGTTGAGAAAAGACCTTTTTGACCCTTTTAACCTTTAGAAGGTCAAATCTGAAATCTATAGCCAGATTTGACATTCTGAGAACTTGAAGATGATTTTGAAAGAAAATTGGTCAATTTGAAGCAAGTTAAAAGAGTACCTTTTTTGACCTTGAGAAGGTCATTGAAGGTTAATTCTTTTTTACCTTGAGAAGGTCATTGAAGGTCAAACCTTAAATCTATTGTCAGATTTCAACTTTTGAGAACTTGTAGATGATTTTGGAAAAATTTGGCCAATTTGAAGCAAGTTAAAAATACCTTTTTAACCTTTTTTGACCTTGAGGAGGTCATTGAAGGTCAAATCCTAAATCAGTTTGATTTGAACTTCAGAAAACTTTTAGATGATTTTGAAAAAAATTGAAGTCAGTAACAGTATTTTTTAGGTTATTGGAAGTTGTAAGAATTTGTTACAGACAAACTTACAGACGCCGATCGCCAACCGTTGTCACAAAAATGGAGACCATAACAATATGTCACCACTTTTCGGTGGTGACATAATAAAAACATGTCATGAGTCACGATACAAAATCTTACTGTTTCTAGCCATTTGTCAGCAATTAATATTGATTTACATTATTGCACGTGTTTTTCAATTGAACAAACCTTTCCGTATCGCTTTATAGAGACTGAGACTACTATCGTAATCCTATGTCATAATTTTGTTTAAGATATAAGTATTGGTCCGGTGGAACAGATTGGGGAACTTATAGATGGATTGATTCAGGAATGACTGGCGGCAGTTTCAGTTTGGTCTTTGGATTATGTGAAGTTCCAGGTACAACGAACAACATATTGCCAATATGGACAATAAAGTCCAAACCCAAATTAGAATCTCAGTTAAAAGTAATTTCTTTATTTGTTGTCACATATAGTGTGATTCTAACAATCCAAGTTGAACACTTTTTAAATAATGCTGTTTATTATTTTTCAGCGTTACCAACAACAACAGTGACTGATGCTACTACAACAGTGACTGATGCTACTACAACAGTGACTGATGCAACTACAACATTGACTGATGCAACTACAACATTGACTGATGCTATTACAACAGTGACTGATGCAACTACAACATTGACTGATGCTACTACAACAGTGACTGATGCTACTACAACATTGACTGATGCTACTACTACATTGACTGATGCTACTACTACAACATTGACTGATGCAACTACAACATTGACTGATGCTATTACAACAGTGACTGATGCAACTACAACATTGACTGATGCTACAACAACAGTGACTGATGCTACTACAACATTGACTGATGCTACTACAACAGTGACTGATGCAACTACAATATTGACTGATGCTACTACAACAGTGACTGATGCTACTACAACATTGACTGATGCTACTACAACAGTGACTGATGCTACTACAACAATGACTGATGCAACTACAATATTGACTGATGCTACTACAACATTGACTGATGCTTCTACTACTAATGCTACTACAACATTGACTGATGCTACTACAACAGTGACTGATGCTACTACAACAGTGACTGATGCTACTACAACATTACCTGATGCTACTACAACAATGACTGATGCTAGTACTTCCAATGCTACTACAATAGTGACTGATGCTATTGCAACATTAACAATAACATCACCCACATCAATAATAACACCCACAATAATAACAACACCCACAACAACTGCTGTGACTCGTTTTTCTGTTTACCCCACCCTTATAAAAGTATTTGTCAAAAAGCCATGCATCGTTGAGCATGGTACCGCTTACCTTTATGAACCAAGAAATGTGTGTCTGTGGCACTCAGGCACCTACAGTGATAGATGGACGTATGGTGGGAGGTACTGCGGCTACAGGGACTCTCAACTTGCAAAGATCAACAACACTGATATCAATGCATTTGTTAGACAAATGTTTCCATTTGACGGGTGTGTACTAGTATACCGTAACTGAAAAAGTCAGTTGGGGAGATGTTCGAGTTCCATTTGCATTGAAGACCCAGTTGTTATTTGGCCTTTTTTCTATTTTTTTAGGGAGTTTTGGGTTGGACTCAACTGCATGGACAGCTATGGAGATTGGCAGTGGAAGGACAGAGAACGCTTGGTACTAACAAATGGATCAAAATGGGCGCACGGACAATCAAATGAGGATATATTTCAAAGATGTGCTTACATTAAGAATGATTACATTCATGGTGCAGTCCTTCATGACGACTTTTGTGGCATGGAATCTCGTCATCCCTTACTTTGTGAATATAGCTCAGGTTTGCACATAGTTTTAGCAAAGCCTTGCTCTTCAATTGCGATTTTTATCACTGTGTCACGCTTGTCTTTTGTAGCGTTGTTCCTACTCAATTAACTCTAAACATCATTAGATACTGTATGTTCGTTTTAGATCGAAAATGCCCTTTTGTGTGGGTACCAAAGAAAGATGTTTGTTATTTACCATCCGAGACCAGAGGGAGCTATGACTATGCTGTTAGCAAGTGTCACAGTATGTCCTCTGATATCCTTGTGATAAAAAATGAGGAGGAGCTACAGACAGTTGCAGAAATATCGTAAGTGACTTCATGATTAATATACCTTCATTTCATTCAATGCAATAATTACTATAGAGATGATATCTAACATTTTCTAGTTTACAAGGGAAATGACTGCAACAATGATTGTGGAACACAAAGCACACCATTCAACTACATGTACATTATATCGTTCGTTGCTCCTCAGTCCAAAGTTTTATATATTTTTTTATCTTTTATCTCCATTATATCGTAGTTGACACAACGCATTCATTTCCAGATCACTCGAGACGGGAGGTAATTATTTCATTGGTTTGAGGATAAATGTCTCTACAGGGGAGGTTAGATGGGAGGATGGCTCTCCTGTCACATTCACGAGGTAAGTTTTTAGCATTAAAGCATTTGTGTAATACAATAGAGAAGCCTTAAAAAGTAGAATTGTGCAGTTTTGGAGGAGTGTATTCTAAATTCCCTCAATTGCCTAAAATATATAGAGAATGAACATCTGCATATTATATTCATTGACTTTGTAAAGGCATTTGACATTGCCGAAGGGGAACTTAAGTAGGGCATTTTGCAAACGATTTTGAGGTGATGAACATTTCCATAATCGAATGAGAACTATTTGTATCACGTAACAAATATATAATTAAAAGATGGTGTCTGAAAAAACTTTCCAAAAAGTTCTTGATTTGTGTTTTTAATTGTATTCTTTAATTATTGACTATCTTTATTCTAATCTAGATGGGGACCAGGCCAGCCGAAGCCAGGAAAAGAATGCGTCATTCTTGTCTCAAAACTCTGGTTCGCAACAGAATGTCAGGGACCACAGAACTTCATATGTAAGACTGGAGTTGCGCCATCCTATATCAACATAACAGAGAAGAGTCAAGGCAGTAAATAAAAAACGGCACATGTTTGAATAGACAAAAAAAATTACGGGACAGTGTGTTTGAGAAACTGACTGTCCCGCAGCTCAAGTGCTCCTACTAATACGGGATTAAGGTGTTTGTAATCGCGACTATCCCGCGACCCCTATAAAATTACGTGACAGTGTATCTGTGATTCATTATATCCCGATCTGTGAAAAACATTTGTCGGGGTCGGGACTAAAAATCAGATCTTGTTTGAATTAAACATTTAAGCAAAGTTGTGTAAAGTTAGCATGAGACCTTCAGACAGATTTCTTCAATTTTATAAGTCAACTAAACCACCCTCATTATTTGATTTGAGTCCAGTAAAGCACTCCTCATTAGTTTGTTTCTACTGGTCAATTATTTGCATTCCTCATTATCATTGATCAATAATTGCACATTTTCCAAACTTGTGAATGATTGAAATTATCAAGTTACATACAATTGATTACGATATTTTGGAATATTTTGCTTACATGGAGTTTCCAATTTCCATATCTTCCATGCTTGTTTTGTACAAAAAGAAAACATTCATTTCGTTTCTGAATATCTGATAAACAGAGAGTTACACTGACAGATAATCAGGCACAATAAGCTGTATTGTATTGTATATTATATTGTATTGCATTGCATTGTATTGTATGCACATTTAGTACGAAATTATATACAAATTCTACAAAACATTTCATTTTGATTTCTTAGGAGTGTACCGGATCCAGTATGAACCTGAAGAGGTGGAGGATGCCGTATTCTATGCATTACCTCCTATAATGTTTGTATGTCTTGTATTCCTGATTATACCTCTTCTGGATCTAAAACATTTGTGTACAAAAACACCCAAGAAAACTTCTAAATCTCTTAAAAGAACATTACAAAACAAGCAAAAGACATTCAAAAGGTCGATGAAAAAGAAAGAAGCTTTAACAAATGGAGTCAATAGTATTCCCCTAGAAACATTCAAGGAAATTTAATCTTGAAAATTATTGCGTATTGATGATTGATTCTGCAATATGTTTTAATAAAAACGTTACTAAAATTTGAATCTTTCTGATTCCCATATACAGGGTGTATTATTCATCACCATGATTGTTTTATATTATCGAGATGGTATCCGACACTGGCTGTACTTTTGTTTCAACAGTGTATTTTATTGCAAATAAAAAAATGAAAAGAAATATTCATAAATCGTTGCCCATATATTTTTATGGAGCATTCTACGCTCAAACATAATTTTTGCAAAGTTAACAAAGTGGAAGAATAACAACAATATATATATTTTGGGAACATTTCTATTTAAAATTTCATTTTAACATCTCAATAATTGAGACTTGACTGTAAGGGTACTTCTTTTGGTGGTTACGATTGATATTGAGGTTGATTCGCATTAACTCACCCCTGCTTTGCGTTTTTAGGGGACGGATATCATTTTCCCCTGGTATCCCTTTCAATTTTGTGCATTATTTTGGGGTTATTTAGTCCTCCCCATGATGCCTGGTGATTCCTCCTCATCATACATCACGGTGTAATTTATGTCTAATTTCCATATGGGTTTGGTGACTTGTATCGTTTTTTGAAAATTGTTGTATTCAATGAATTGGTCAAACACAGTATAAAAAGGACCGAGTACTGTAGGTATCAAAAAACAACTATGACGAAATTCCCTTTGGACAATGTAGACCTTTTACACCGGATGACCGGATGTGTCTGGCTGCGACATCGCTCTACATCGGGAAAATAATAGCTCACATAATGATATACAATGGGTATAATTGAGTACCAACATGTCTTCATTTGAATTCAAAACTGACTGTTAACGACTGTTACGGTCCACACCGCACCGCACCGCACATAAATCCGCACCGATTGTTTTCGAATAACGCAGCTTCATGATATAGGTATCTGGGTTATAGGTCATAGGCATCATGAGCATAGGGTGATAAATCATTAATTAAAATGACACACCTCCCTACTGCTATATATTGACTGGTCGGTTAATGAGACGCAGATAACTTGATATCGGTCACATGATGAAAACAAGATTATATATGGACAAAAGATGTCAGAGGGACTCTATCTCGCATTTCCAAATCGCAACACAATAACGAATTGAAGTAAGACAAAATTAAAATAAATTACGATGCGATTTGAATATGATTTTTCAGGATACTCCCAATGAATTTGTACGGGCCTTCATACCGTTACGTATGTGCAAGACATACCATATGACCTCGTGTAAACACGAACACTTCAAAGCTGCCACTCCAAACTGATACCAACTCAATGTTATCACAGTTTTGTAAATGTTTAACACTGTTTAAAAGTTGGCCCTGAACACTTCAATTTTCTTGAACTTGGTAAAATATACGCATTGAAGTCTACATACACGTTCAGTACATATATCCTATGTTTTGACCAACATTTTAAATGGCTGGATGCGTCCCTCAGTCTCTGACCGATCAAATTAAAACAAATTTAGATTCACATTATGAACAGTGTATCATTGACTAAAAGCTTGTTACATTCTTTAAGAAAAAAACTCGGATTGTCAGTATGCCAAGTTACCCAAGTTTTAGCTGCAATACTATAGTCTTGCCGTATCAAGTCAAAATTTGATTCACGAATGTACCACTGATATAATGTTAGCTTTTGTGCACTAGCATTTGAGAACTGACATTTTTGCTGGTAAGTAAGTATCAATACTTGAATTAATAAACATGCAATATTAATAATAAGGTGTTTTAATATAATTAATTTTACAAGAACAGCTCGAAGAGGAATTGCAGAGACAGAAGTCTGTCTTATCCTTTTCGTTCATGTACTAACCAAACCAAACATAGACGAATGAAATAAAAAGTGAATTCTTAATATCGACGCTTATCGCAAAAAGGAATATTCGTACATTCTTTTTTATGAAGAATTCAGCCTAATGTCGCGCCATGTGTCTGAATTATTTATACTATACCTGTTTTTCATTTATGTTAAATTCAAGGTCACAAAATGGACAGCGTAGGCCTTGTTCAAGGAGTGAGTATAGCGAATTCATCAGATACTACCTGTTTGGGGGAAACTACAATATCTTCATTGTCACCTTACTGCGACATACCATCTCCACCGGGTCTCGATGAAACATTTTCATCATTGTTGACGGCATGTTCGCCGACTTCATTAGATGGTTCTATATCAACCCACAGAGACTCCGAGGTGGGTCTATCTGACACAGATTCAGGGATTTCCATTGATATGTTGATGCCACTTGGGTCTCCTGTCGCCCCTGTCTCATATACAGACACTTCGTCTATAGTAGACTTATTAGTCTCACCACCCATCGCAAAACCAACAGCCACTACCTCAAAAGCTGATGATGCGAATTTAATAAAATCACTTTTGACAAGGAAACCAAACAAGATCCATACAACAGTAATGGATAAAAAGGTTCTTGTAAATAATTCTGTTATGAATTACGAACCTCGAAACAACCTTTCTAAACACCTTTGTTCCTTGCTCAAGAGTAACAGTTCATCAACAAAGGCAAATCAACTGACAGAAAGTACAGCTGAAAAAACACCATTAATCAAGAAGACTCTGCTGCCACCATGTAGAGTGTGTGGCGAGAATGCATCCGGTTTTCACTATGGAGTCAACACATGCGAGGCTTGTAAGGTAAAACATAGATTCTGATGTAAAGTATGTTTTAGATATCATTTGTCGTCAATCACTGCTAGCTTAGTTTATATCGGATGTCCCAAAATTGCTTTTTTGGATTTGTCAATTCTTACTTAATATGTGACCGATCTTTTTCTTTGTACAACTTGCTATTGATACCCTATGGCTACTTTATAGAAATTTCCAATAAATTTCAGTAATCAATCGCTGAGAAAAACTTTTGGGACATCCGATATATTATGTTTTGTTCACGATAGTAGCATGTTTTATGATGCTGCTGTGTCATCGACCAATATTTCGATCGGGATTTTCTCAATGGATAATAAACACGCACCTTGCTCAAAATCAACACATAGCTTGTTAACTTATAACTTGTTAACTATAGATTTAAAGATATCAAATGATTTGTCTTGATAACTGTAAATTCATTTCTTAATCGCAAATTATTTTATTCTGACCTTATGAGTTCAAAAGTACTTTTAGTCGTGTTATCAAATTGTGCTGTGTCATCTTTGACAGGAAGTGTAAACAATTATGTTACGCCGTAGTTATAAATAGAACAAGACGTACTTGTTGAACAAAATTTCCCCGGGATCGTTCTTGAGTCCGATATATATTGCCGCTTTCTACTTTTTCAATGGAAAGAAAACTATGAATGAGTATCAGTTTAACAAAACTGTATTCTTTTCAGTCACTGCAAACATGTAACATTCGCCTGGTCACTTATTTTCAGGGCTTCTTCAGGCGTAGCTTGCGTCGACCCATTGGCACTTACCAGTGTGCGGAAGAAGAAAAATGTGACGTTGATAGAAATCGAAGAAATTCTTGCGCTTATTGTAGATTCGAGAAGTGTTTATCAGCTGGGATGTCTAAAAGTGGTAATATAACTCAATTATCTGTGATTGTGTATATGATATTGTGATCTTTTATATGTAAATCAGTCTTGACGTCAGTGATTTAAAATTGTATTTGAAAAATGAAATATATTCTCATCAACTACTCTCATTCGAAAAATACAAACATTGGGTCTTAGTAGAGTTTAGAATTATTTTTGTAAATGGCTTTGCTTTGTAGCTATAAAGACCGGACGATACACACATGAGAAGAGGGCCCGAGACATTATAGAGGTTAGGAGACTCAAGCGTCAAAATTCCTCAGAAGATGACTTCACAGTGTCTGAGAAGAAGCTCCAACAGATGACTGCAACAGAGAATGATTTCAACAAAGATATGAATCATGAATACGAAGGTGCTATTCAAAAGATGAAGATAGCGACAATCGAGGGCAGAAAGCTGTATCTTCATAACTTGAAAAAATTTTGGGAAGGACAGAAAACGCACATGGTTTGTATTAGATTGTTTGCACGCCACAACTTCGATACAAGATTAAACGAATTATAATGTTTAACCAACGGTGCACCATAAACAACGGCCAAAATGTCATTTATTTTATTGATTTCTCTGTATGTTCTAAAGTCACATCCAAAATTTGAGAGCGACCAAAGCCTCCTATCAGTTTATTTGAGAAAAAGATGTGATAAATATCAGAATGACATTCGATTACAAACACAAATACTTGATATATATTTTTATTTACTTTTATTGTGACTAGGATGATATAGAACTAAAAAAGCAGTTATTTGGAGATATGCGCACGATCACCAAAGACGAGTATAATGATATCTTTGAGAGGACAGGAATAGACATAGACGGAAGAAGAGGCTTAGTTTTCACATACTATTCAGATGTAGAGAAACTTATAAAATGGTTCGTGATGTTTGCCAAATCAGTACCTGGTTTTAATGAACTTGAAGTGGAAGATCAAATGGCCCTTATCAAAGGTAAGTCAGTCAAGCGTTTAACAGACTGAGCTTAAAATACTGGGATAATCTTTATGCTAGCATAAATCAATGGCTATTTGAAATAACTATTGGAATTAGATAATTCAGATGAAATGACTTTTATCTGATTACATTAGTTTATTACCTTTTTAGGAGCTCGTTTCGAAGCATACTTCTTTCTTGTGTATCGCTTTATGAATCCAGAAAATCAATGTTTATGCGATCCAATCAAAGGCAAGATTGTTCACATAGACGAGATTTCTTGTGTTTGGGAACGAGAATTTTTACTTGCACAATTTGATATGGCGGCAAAATTTAGCAACATACAATTGAGGGAAGAGGAAGACATTGCTCTACGGGCGCTTGTATTGTTTTTTCCAGGTATGTTATCAAGCAGTCGCCAAACTCCGCTTGGGAATAAATAATATTATTTTCGTGTCTTACGTGTAATGTCTTTGAAAAATATTTACAAAATTGTGAATCTACTTTTCCCATCCTAGTTTTTTTATTTACGGAAGTGATTAAAGTTTACACTTTACCATGTCAAAGACAGGCGAATAAGTGTAAAAGTCGAATGACAAAAGCTTGAAATATTGGTTACCTGTGCAAAATAACCCAGATGCGAGTAGGTATATGTAGTTTTCAATTTCAATACAAGAAAAGATATTTCACATTTTATGAATTTATAACATAGAGTCTATGGGGAATCTCCCCGACCTAGAAGTCATATTTTCAAAGAAAATTAAATTTTCAAAGTGGATAAACACTTTTAAAAACCACATATATAGATTTAAAAATACGTGTAGGTTTTAAATATGATATCACTTTGACTGAACTTTGAATTTTCAATGACGTAAATTAAGAATATATATAGAATAAGAATATATTAAGAATAACTCGGAGACAATTTCAGTAACATCTGTTATAAAGTACTGTAACTTGTTTTATAACATATTAAATTACACTTATTTCATTTTACTCTTTTAGATCGTTGCGAAATGACGAACGCTCCTTTGATTGAAAAGAAGTTCACATTTCTCGTGGAAGTCCTCCAATATTTACTGAAAAAGAACCACCCAAATGAACCCCAATTGTTTGCCAAAATAGTAGGATATTTAACAGAGATGAGGAACCTCACAGAATGGGAGATAAAAGTGACAGATAACATCAAGATAGACTGGCCCGAAGCATTCCCACCAATGGTGTCCGAGATTTTAAGTCCAGTAACCTAGACTACCAGACTGACTGTACAATATGAGAATTGTTCCCACAAATGGTGTTCGAGATTTAAGTCCAGTAACTTAACCTGTACAATATGAACATTGTTCTCACAAATGGTGTTCGAGATATTAGGTCCAGTAACCCAAACTGTACAATATGAACATTGTTCCCACAAATGGTGTTCGAGATTTTAAGTCCAGTAACCTAGACTGTACAATATGAGAATTGTTCACACCAATTGTGTCCGGGATTTAACATCCAGAAACCTAAACTACAATATGAGCATTGTTCCCGCAAATGGTGTTCGAGATTTTAAGTCCAGTAACCTGAACTGTACCAGACTGACTGTACAATATGAGAATTTGTTCCCACAAATGGTGTTCGAGATTTAAGTCCAGTAATCTAGACTGTACAATATGAGCATTTTTCTCACCGTTAGAGAATTTTACTCCTGCCTCCCAAACTGTATATATTAAACTGTAAAATACGAGAACTGTACATGTTCTCAAAGGTGTAAGATAATTTCACATCAGTAGAATAAGTTGTGTACGAGAATTGTCCTTTCCAATGGTGTCAGATATTTTAGCTTGATTTTTACCCTGTAAAGAATACAATTATGACTCCCATTCTGCATATGTGGTTGAGAATACTAGTAATAAATATGAAAAATGAAATCGGGTCACTACAAGGATAGCCAAAGTACATTGAAACATTTATTACTTATTGTATCTACAGGGTGTCAAATAAGTCCCATCCCCCCTGCTACAGCCAAAACCTTAATATATGGTACCTAGTGTGATATACCATTGGAAAGATCATCCAAAGTTATGTTTACTCACCAAACCTCAAGTATTTTGGATGAAATTTACCTATATTTTCACGATGTCTTTTATAGTTAGTTTACCCTCCTTAAGCAGCTTTTATTGCATCAAAATGAGAAGGATATGACCTCAGGAATATGTCAAAAAGTTAACCTTTTTCGCATTCCACTTGTAACAAAAAGGTTTCTCCACTTCCCTTGCACCTCTATTTTCTACACATCTAACCCTATCCACAAATTGGTTTAATCCATTGCCATATACATAGTAGCCCGGACAGAATTGTTCAATGGTCACTTTTTCTTTAATAACTTTTTTAATTTTCAGTATTATCAAAATCTGATTACATATTTGAAAACTAGAGTAAAATTCTGACATACAAAAAACATATTTAAGGAACGTCTCTTAATTTATTGATATTATGGGCATTCATAGTATGACTGACGCAAATACATAATTCATAATTTTGCCTCATATTCGTTCAAAATGGCTGCATATTTTGTGAATTTGAATGTTCAGTTGAAAGGTAATATTTAAAGATTGTCACAGGACTATAGGGCCATGCTGCCACCATTACAATCCTGATGTAATGCAGCAACTGACCAATCATCAAATACAAGAAGTCAACTCCCTTCAAGGGTATATGAAATCAACTCTATTGAAATGTTCGGGGTTGTGTTCACTAGAGGATGTGAAAAGGTTGCGCCCCAATGTGCCGGGTGTAGCGAGAGTAGGTCCTCAATCTTTTCAAGAGCTCCAAACAGCCATCTCAGAGGCCATTGAAAAGCAAGAACGATCCACATGCATGCCAAGGATGGGTTAAGAGGCATGTGACTGGGAAAGACATTACAAACTGTGGCAGTATAACCCTATAGTTGCACAGTTTAAACGATCTAGGGTTGCTAATCCACTACGAGTAACAGTGGAATGGCCAAACATTTTACCAATATACTGTACACAATGTACAAACCTTTCTAAGTATTGGTATCTGACACATGTCAGTCAACCACACAAAATTTTACACTGTATCAATCGAGGTGACCATAGGCCTAGAAACATGGCAATTTGGCGTACTTGGCAGGGTTTTAAGAATCGGGCATAAGAAAAGTCAAAGGACCTAAAGATGACAACATAGTAGCCCGGACAGAATTGTTCAATGGTCATTTTTCTTTAATAACTTTTTTAATTTTCAGTATTATCAAAATCTGATTACATATTTGAAAACTAGAGTAAAATTCTGACATACAAAAAAATATTTAAGGAACATTTCTTAATTTATTGATATTATAGGCGCTCATAGTATGAGTGACGCAAATACATAACTCCCCATTTTGTCTCATATTTGTTCAAAATGGCGGCATATTTAGTGGTTTGAATGTTCAGTTGAAAGTTAATATTTAAGAAATGCCATAGGCCTACGAAATCATGTAGACTGCTGCTTTGGTATGAGGTAATGACTGCACTTGTAACCTTTTGTATTAAACTGACTTGTACATGCCAACCAATGTAACTTTTGAAGACCTTTCCAATGATATATCACACTTGGTACCATATATGTTGTTTTTTTGCTGTAGAGGGGGGACGGGACTTATTTGACACCCTGTATATTTCCAACAATTTTGATAACAATGCATTGATTATTTGTTAGAATAAAAAAAGAAACATATTTGGCTCACCCTTTCAACATTCAACATAGAAAATAATTGGTGATGAGAAAAATGTACATGCACACAAACGAGATGTTCATAAAGACAAATTAACAATTTGAAGACGTTGATATCAAAGATTTCTTGCCTCTTGTAGTATGAAGTTGAACTTTTGTGGTTGTAACCATGATCGCAAACTGTGCATAGTATGTATAGTAATGAATATATTCACAAGAAACGTTTTGTCATATTTTACTTAATACACACGCTCCATATTGAATTCATCTCACAAACTGCCCGAATAGAACAGACGGAATATATTTTATTCATCCCAGCCTGAGAAATACTGAAACGTAATTTGGTAAATCGGTTGCTTTTAGTTGATATCGTTAATCAATTAATGTAACTCCCAAGAAGAAAGGAACTACTTTAAGAGCGAAGAACTTCAAAGAGGTGTAAGAATACTTACTGACTTGTTGGAGGTTGTGATGAGCCGTTAGAAGGGCATGCTGCTATAGGTATACGGAGCCGATTGGATGCAATTACTAGACCAACAACTGCTTCCATTATTTTTAACCATTAAGATTATTTATTTAAAAAACATAAATAATTTTCCATCTAATCACGGCGTAATCGCATTGTGGCCATTGTTAAGTTCCCGGTGAATTACTAATCTCATTTTGATTTATTGAGTTGCATATACCAGTATACATGGAGTATTCTTTGTCTCTTGTGGCTTGTTGAATTGTTGGTTGTTGGAATCTCGTACACCATAGTCGAGAACAATTCTCATACTGTTAAAATCGGTGGTGTCTGTAACATATGGCAGGTGGTGACATTTTGCATGCTGATACCTTGTTATGTGATATTTTCAATTTTGTAAAAGGAAAAATGATAATGTTGTGAAATTGCGATGCATTTGTATCGGAAGCTATGAGGCCAAAACACTTTATACGACACTGAAAATTGATTGACAAGGAAAATAAACTAGTCTGCAAACGACAGAAACATGAAAAACGCAATTCAGTGATCAAACTAATGAAACAACGCTGCCAATATATCTATATGAGGTTAACTGCAAAACTCCACCTGCTTCAACTTAATTGTAGAATTGAACCCTTCCCACGGGTGTTAAAACACGAATATACCATGAGCACATGCTTTGAGGATCCGCGTTGTTTGAACCTACCGCCGAGCACACTTATACATTAAGACCCGTTACACAGTCATGATACCGCCGAGCAAGCTCATTGCATCATCGGGTCTGCTTTACCCCCGTGCTTCCTTTCAAAATGTTTATACGAAAGTACGTGCAAATTGAGTAATATTCTCCATTTTTCAACTTGAATATCATTCATCAACGCCAATAACATCTGTATGAAAATCACTATGTAAAATCCTATGATTAATACTTGTGATAACATCTTATATTGATGTTTAATTTGTTGTTTAATCCAATATCACAGAAAATATCATTCAATATTATAACATCTGATCCGGACTCAAATATCATTAGAGAATGATACCCGATTAAACCAAAATATATTCCAGTTTAACCTGATATAATTTAAGTCAGGATTAGATTAAACAGTATTATACGCATATCATTTTCTATTATAACAGGTTTCAAAGTGGTATAATACAAATTATACATATCATTTTTTGTATAATACAAATTAAACTGGAATATACCGAGACCAAACAGATGATACTGTATTATACGGTTCAGAAATTAATTGCACTTTGTTTTCATAACGTCAGACCTTAATTAAACAAGCTAACGTAAATATTTACATAAGGTAATTCTAGAAGTTTTTTGAAACTCATGTTTGACCATTTGTGTCAGACTGAAATCCGATATTGTTTTTTTGGCAATCGCACCCCCCCCCCAAGTTTGCTACGCCCCTGTACATGGCTAATAGGGGCACTATTACGCTACGTGCAGAGTCTAGTTATATACTACGAGAAGACGAAACTCTCTTATAAGAAGTGAAGTCGAACGAATGCAAAGGGTAGGGCACTATAGAAGAGGGTCATACAAAAGCACGATCTATTTCACAACGCCTTTAATTTTTGCTCTTCAACTGTTGCCCTTTGTGCATTTAAAAAATAAAATATCTTAATCTAATTTGTTCAACCTTTCTTTTCGCTCAGTTCTGCAATATTACGTCCACATGTTATTTAGGCTTACATGCATGTCATTTGCGAAATAGCTGTAAGACATTATGAGAATGAATATGGGAATTTCCACGTAATATGTTGTTCACATGATTATATACACATATCTGCATAACAATCGGAGACAGAAGTCAAAATATTGTCCAATAAAGAATCTAACATTTAGTGATGATAACAAATGGATTAATTGCTATATAGTTCTCATTGTCTTAGTCTTTGTTTTCTTAACTGCGGAAGTCTACCAACATCACCTAGATTACATAAGAGATCATCTAGGCCTAACAGTCTAAAATTGCTATTTAAATCGCAAGTTAAAGTATTCCGACCAAAAGTTGTATACCTGTAATTTGGGGGGGGGGGGGGGGGGCGATGTTACATCACATAACTACAACGTTCATATAGAAATATACAATAAGCATGTCGTATAAAAGCTAAAATTATAAACACTCATTTCAAAGTCATTCTGTTCATGGAAGCGTCAAGTTATGAAAAACAATGCTAAACACTAAAATAAACAAATCGACTTGATTACTTTTGAAAACTTCTTGAGAGGTGATGGACAAATGTATTTTTCTAACTCATTAGAACGTCTGTCTGATTGAAATACTATTTTTTAAATACAAACATAAATGAATAAATCTTGGTCAGAAGTCTGAACATTGTCCAACGAAATAATAAGAATCTACATTTAACATTTAATGATTACTAAAGGATTAATTGCTATATAGTCTTTGTCTTAGTCTTTGTTTTTCTAACGGTGGAAGTGTACCAACATCACCTTGATTACAGAAGATCTAACAGTCTAAAATTGCTTTTAATTCCCGGGTTTTAATTACATTGTATGAATAGAGTTTTTTGCCCCTCTTTTCATTTTTCAACCGGTCTCTGTTTCCGTATTTAACAATTTATTGTGATAAATTATTTCAGTTAGTGTCGAAATCAAAACGATTTTCTACATTATAGTCCCCTCCTCTTGCACTGACTAAATATTAAAATAAGCCAGTCTGATTGCGAATTTACAAATCCTATAAAAGTAGCTTCAAACCACCTTTTAATCAGAGAAAACAATAAGTTAATTCATCTGATTGCGAAAAAAGGAATCAATCTAATTATCTGATCTCCATGTTATTTGATTCGTGCATTATAGCCAATCGGGCAAGGGTGAAATTATTTCATTTGAAAACAGAAATAAATATTATAACCCCTCTAGCATAAT